TACCCAGAAGAGCATTCCCCATCACTGGACAGTTTTCTCCTCGGAGAAAACAGAATTGCACATTCTTCCCTGATGTCGATGTGGTGTGGTGTCAACAGAGCGAGGCTGAGAAGCTGCTGCCCTTCAACAAGAACCATGTCTGTAACTCTCAAGTTTGCACTGCATCTTTGTGTAGTCACTGATTGCTTTTGATCATTGATGCTACTTACTCGGTGACTAGGCTTGAGCTCACAATGCTCATCTTGATACCAGGATGAGCTGGTTAATAAATGCCTGTCTTATTTGATAACTGGGATAAATAGATCATTATGCCCATCTTACTTGGTACCAGGATGAGTGGATCCATAATGCATATCTTTCCCATAATCTTAAAAACCTAGAGTGACTGTCATACATTCAGTTGTTCAAAACAACAGAATGCCAGGCTGTTGACATTATATACACGCTTTAATCCCAGCACTGTGGAGGAAGAAGCAGGTGGATCTTTGCCAATTAGAAGCCGATCTAAAAAGCTTATTCAAGAACCGTCAGCACCGCCATGTGTGTGCTGGAAATCAAACCTAGGTTATGTGCAGGAGCAACAAGTGCTCTTAACTTCTGAGCTGTCTCTCCAACTCCAGGGTTTGGTCCTCAACAAAGTGGTAGTCTGGATGCAAGGTTAGAAGCTACTGAGAAAAGCAAAAAGGATAGTCCTTTTCCCTCAACAGGGACTGGCTCTTTTTACAAATGCCTATGTTTCAAGAGAAAGTTATAAGGTAAGGTGGGCTGGCTACTTTTACAAATACCTACATTTCAAGGGAAAGTTGTAAGATGTGCAAAGAGAAGTTTCTCTGTAGAGTGGATGATAGTTAATAGACTCAACCAGGGAAAGTGAAGAGAATATATGAGACTATGGAGTGCTAAACCTGACATCTACATCACCTGACATTTCCCTCTCTCAGAGCTCAAAGAACATCAAAGAGAAGGGTCAGAAAGATTAGGAGAACCAGAGTCAAGTTGCTGTGAAATGTCTTCTGGACATGACCGGAGACACTGCACCCATGAACTCATAGCCACTGTGGTTGCTGGCACAAGATCAGTCAGTACTCCAGTCTAAGATCCCACCCATGCCCAAGGAGATAATGGCACTTAAGGGGTGGCTGCTCCAGGAGGGAGTGTCTGTTTTCTTCAGTAGCCCATGGTCATTCATTGTCCCATGCTCCAGGAGGGCATCCATGAGTATTTGGGTAGCTCTAGTTAAACTCAGTCGATTTGTTGTTTGGTTGGTTGGTTGGTTTTTGGACATAGAAGTTGTAGGCAGAATGTGGAGGGTAGCCTGTGAGGAGTTGGAGCAGGGAATATTGTTGTATATGATCTAAATACATTGTACTCACATATAAAATTGCCAAAGAATACACTTTAAAATGTGACTTTAAAACCTTCGCTCAAGAGATGGAGTGTGTTGATTCAGCAGCCAGGGGACCAGGGGAAACCAGAGACAGGCAGTGGCAGTCTGTCCAGCCCAAAGGCTCAGGTGAGCTCTGCCCTCACAGCTGCAGTGAAGGGCTTCACTAGACAGAGTGTGGTGAGGCCAGCAAAGACTGCGTTGTAGAGGAACACGATGTAGAAATTGCCCAGCCAGTTGAAGGGTCCAAAGTCACCCAGCAGGTCGAAGCAAGTCAGCCAAAGGGTCCGAGAAGACAGGAAGTGTCGTGCCATCTAGGCCTCAGGCTTCGGAAGAGTGGAGAACTGTAGAAACCCATGACTGAGGACACCATCAGCTAAAAGATCAACATGACCTGGATGATGACACCAAAGGATCCCAGTTTGGAAAAGGAGACCTGACCCAGGGAGACATCCTGAATGCCCCTTGGCGTGGCAGCCTCATCGATGAGCAGCTCCAGGATACGGATGGCCACAACAAGCACGGACAGGCCCATCAGCAGCAGCAAGCACAGCATGGTCAGAGGGTAGCCCAGGTTCCGCTGCCAGGCCGAAGCCTTCCATCGCTTTTCTAAGAGGACCCTCTGTGTCTGCAGAGCCAGGACCTGTCTGTGCAGCAGCTGCATGTCCAAAGGCAGCCAGCAGGAGGAGGGATTGCAGAATCGTTGAGTCAGAGCTGCCTCCTCAAAGGCTCAACAATTCAGCTGTTCTTCCAGGTCTTCTAGCAGCCGGGGCTTGACCAGCAACTTCCCAGTGACTGAGAACATGCGGGCCAGACCTAGGGGAGTGTACACCAGGAACAGGAGAACTCTGAGGAAGGAGATACAGGAATAGAGGTAGGGGGTTAGTACTCCCAGAAGTCAAAGAGCGACTCTCTGCTGGCCTTGTCATTGTCTACAATGGCTGACGCCACCCACGCCATGCCCAGCACAAGCAGGGTGAGGAGGAGTATCAGCATCACCACTGTCTCATAGACCCGGCCCAGGACACCCTTTCTGGAGCCAGTGAAACCCTCAGACTCTGTGAAGAAATATGCAGAGGGCATAAGGAAGATGAGGGACATTGGAGAAGAGAAAAATGCAATCTTGTTAGCTGTGGCATCTTCATCAACCACTGTGGTGAACTAGGCGGGTTTCTTGGAGCCCATCAGGAAGATACAGAGGATGTACAATGTTGCAAACAGAAGTATTGAGATGATGCACTTGCGGACCCTGTCGTGGAACAGCTGCTCTCGCACGGGTAGCACTTCATAATCAGCTGCTTCCATACTCTGCTCAGCATGACTGGGGCAGGAGTGTCCCCGGGCCCGGGAGGATGAGCAGGGATGAGGCCACCACCCACCAAGCACCGGGACCTAGCCTAGGAGCCACCAGCTCCTCCTCCTATCTTCACAAGCAGTATTAAGAGAGAAAAAGAACACGTGCCTGCAACTATTGTGTAGTCAGAAGACTCGTGCAGCTGCAGAAGGCACTTTTCTCTCAACTAACGCGGAACTGCTGTGTCTTCAAATCTCATCTTAAGATGCTGTTAGATGCTTTCTGCAGGAAAGCTTTTGGCAAAAAAAAAATTTTAAAGGTACATGTTCATTAACTTTCACAGCAGCACAAAGACTAGAAACCTAGCATAACCTGTATCTGAGGGAAGATATGACATGTGTGACAGGCCCTACAAGGTCCTGAGTGTCAACCACAAGCCACTCACTCTCTATGTTATGGGGAACTACAGGGGGACACTCAGATGTCACCTTTCTGCACACAAACTATCCAGAGTGCTCTTAAGGGAAAGATGTGACAAGCTATTATCAGCGATAACACCACTTTTTTAAACAAAGACACCTCAGAACTTCCATAAACATAGTGTGGCTTGATCCTGGAACCCTCCCCAGGGCCTGCAAGGAAATAAAGGACAGGCACACAGACACACGTGCAGAAAAACTGCACACAAGTAACCGGTAACCTCCATGTGTTTACTATGTGCGGGATGGTAGGGTGGCTTAGCTGCTCTCGGAAGCAGGTCTCTGGGGGCAGCAGCCTTGAGCTGTAAACAGAAGGAGAACAGTGCATTTAGGGTACTATTTTTGCACATGCTGATAAATACTCGGCAAACATGTGTACTTGGACCGGAAGAAGAAGAGGGCTTTGTCAATTTCCCTTGGGTCTGTGGCCTTGGCCCTTGTCATGGCTGTGCCTACATCATTAATACACATTCACTCGGGATGTGCTCATGTCTATCTATGTGTCTGTCTGTCTCTCCATCTCCACCCTGCATGTACATATTAAAACATTCCATCCTGTAAGAAGTTCCTTAAGTTAGGAAGGAAAACAACTCAAAATAGCTTCAGGAAGTCCCTGAAACTGACCAGATTCACTAGGCTTCTCCCTGCCAGAGTAGCCAAGCCAAGATGCAAAGATGACTAAGACAAGATTGGCTTCTACCTGGGAGAGGTGTAGACCAACTGAGTAACTTGGAAAGGACACTCTCCAAACTGTTGAGCTGCCTACAGGCTGTGCAGTGTGCTGCAGGTCCGCAGCTTTTGTGAGCTGTCGCCATGCTAAGGCAGGCTTTGGGGATGCAGCCATCTGTGAGTCATTTCTGGTCCTCCATCCACATTGTTGTAAGTAACTCCCGGTTCACCAAGTTGGACTTCCGTGGTTCTGCACTTCAGTCTGCTGTTGGTTCTTCATCTGGGGTGAGTAGACCTGTGTGGAGTCCCCCTAGCAAAAGTTGTCCAACAATAGTGTGTATATGTGCACATGTATGTGTATGGGCATGCACATGACATGATATATGTGTGGAGGTCAGAGGACAGTCTACAAGAATCAGTTCTCATCTGTCCCCATGTGAGTCCCAGGGAATGGATTTAGGTCATCAGGCTTGACAGCAAGAACCTTTACCAACTGACCCACCTCTTTAGTCTAGTGCCATACTTTGAATTAAAATACCAGGTCACACAACCTGAACACACACACACACACACACACACACACTCAAGATCTTTCTCTCCCCCAGGCTGGCTTCAAACTCAAAAATCCCCCTGCCGGACTCCAACCTCTTGCATGTTGGAATGGCAGGGGTACATACCACACAAGACATTTTCTGAAAAATTCAACAGTTCTGGTTTCCACAAAGGTTGACAGAGTCAGGTAAACACCATTTTCTACACCTAGATTATAATGACACAACAGGGTGCTGTGCCCACAGCAATGGTTAACACCAGAGGAATTCTCATTTTACCCCGGTAATTCATCCAGTACCATGACATCACTATAAACTACTTACCATTCTTACCACCACTTTGCGCATAGACTTGAAGAAAAAGTCACCCAGCCTGAGTCACATTGCTATGTGCAACTGAAGAAAAGCAAGTCTAGAGTCTGTTCTGTTTCTGTTTCTCAGTGCTGGAGACCCAGACCTCACATACACTCTACCGCTGTGTTACAAACCGACTCAAGGCTGAGAGTTTAAAAACCGCTACATCACAGAACCCTCTGTGAAGTCAGGGGATGAGAAGATCCTAAGATCTCTGTTGAACCACCTTTAAAAAACAACAAAAAAAAAACCAGTGCTTAAATACAACATTATTATCCAAATATGTTTTATTGTATGTAAATTCTAGAAAACATACAAGTTCAGTTCTTTCCAGTTAATTCCTCACTCTGCAAACATGAATTTTCCTCACAATAAAGCCTTCTTTGTCCCTTCATGACCCTTTCAGGAGCATGTGCACACACAACACCTGCTCCAGGTCCATTGTAAAAAGATCATTAGCTGAAAGGAAAGTGGCTTGACAATTTTTTCAGGATAACAAAAAACAGAGTAAGTCTCTCTTTAAAGGGCCACATGATAAAGCGTTAAAAAATAAAGTGCTGCATGGGTATAATAAGTGACACTTTACCAAAGAGTGACAGCTGTGGAGTTACTGAAATGTAATCTACCATTTTCTTAACCAGACGAAAATGTGCAGTTTCTCCTTTTTAAGAGAACTTCTCTCTCACCGCCTTTCTGAGAACTCTCCTTGGGATCTCAAAGACGCAGTGTTTCTTCAGAGTGCTGCGTCTCACGAGGACTGTCCTCCACGCCATCTTATAAGCATGAAATGAGAAACACAAAACGACTCAACTCCAGGTGCGTGTGCATCTACTTACAGGGAGGGCTGCTGTATGTGACACAAAGAACAAGAGAGCGGCAGGAAGCCAGGAGCTCCGTCAATGTCTACCACGCCATGCCTAGAAACACTGGCCCAGTCATCCATGGGCACCTCTGTGTCTCCTTGACACCGTGCAAGAATTGGAGACCTCCATCCCCATGGACGCCGGAAACAGGCTCAGACTCAGCAGCACAAGGGGTCACTTGGGTTGAAGCGGCGTTCTCAAGCCGACTCTCTGCTGCCTTAGTGCAACCTGGACCTCCTCACGAGCCTTCTCCTGTTGCTTCAGCTTGGTTAGGCGCTTCATTTCATACTCGTTCTCTACTTTGATGGCTAAAAGGATAAAACAAACGAAGTCGTCTGAGTGGCGGTTTCACCTGGCAGCATCTCAGAACACAGAGCAGTTGGACACTGCTGAAGAATTAACAACTTGACTGAGGACAGATGGGGAGCACAGGTGTGGATGACAAACTTAAAAGTGTTGTGGTCACTAGCAAATGATAAATCATTTATTAAAGTAGATTGGAAGGAAGGAAGGAAAGAAGGAAGGAGAAAGAAAGAAAAAAGAAGAAAGAAAGAAGACTTACTTTGTGCTGAAGGGAGCAGGCCTTCCTTGACAGTTTTGCATGCCGCGAGCTTTATGGGACTACAGAATGTAATTTCTCCCAAGAACGGCAACTTGATGTTCGCTAAGTTTGTGTACCAGGTCTTTGTGAGCTCTGCAAGGTCCCACGGTTCCTGTCTGAAGCAAAAGTTCATGGACTTGTTCAGTTTGTAATCGGGCATGCTATGTGAAATACAGATGTCTTGCTACCCTTCCCTCCAGTTTGGTTTTTAGAGGATTTTCCAGAGTTACCACCATAACTAGGAATAAAAAAAAAACTACTAATTAACAGAGACAGGATTTGTTTACAGTGCAGCAGATTACAATTCCAGGAAATCCACTAATGAGATGGTAAACAGGAACTATAGGCTACAATGTCTTTATATAAATATATATATACATATATATTCATACATATATATATACATATATATATATATATATATATATATTGACACAGGGTCTTACCATGATGCCCTGGCTAGCTACTGGGACTACTGTGTGGTGGTAACAATGTGTGTTCATTATGTGTTCCCTGTATCCCAGGCAACCAGCAGGTCTTAGACCTGCATTGGTTCATTTGCAAGCCCCACCACAATAGATGAGCGTGCACTGTGTTACAGGTGTGGGAGATAAGGATAAGACACAGTGCACAGAGGGAGCCAGGTTTGGAGCCCAGGACTCCAGACTGAAAAGTCCATGTTAACATACACTGTCTGCCAAAGAGGACGGTAAGCTAAACTGAACCTTGGCACACCAGCTAAGGAAGTGCTCTATACAAGTCTTATTAGTACATTTGTATACTCTCAAGATGTGTGTTAAGATGGCAGCGGTAAAGCTGTTTTTGAATGACTGAAACTAAAGAAAAACACACAGACATATACATTTAGACATAATATTAAGAAACACGCTGGGCGGTGGTGGCTCACACCTTTAATCCCAGCACTCAGGAGGCAGAGGCAGTCAGCTCTCAGTGAGTTTGAGGCCAGCCTGGTCTACAAAGTGAGTTCCAGGACCGCCAGGGCTGTTACACAGAGAAACCCTGTCTTGAAAAACAATTTTTTAGGGCTGGAGATGGCTCAGTGGTTAAGAGAATTGACTGTTCTTCCAGAGGTCCTGAATTCAATTCCCAGCAACCACTTGGTGGCTCACAACCATCTATAATGAGATCTGGTGCCCTCTTCTGGTGTGCAAGCATACATGCAGAACACTGTATACATAATAAATAAATAAAATCTTTTTTTTAAAAAAAAAAGGCCGTTTTGCTCAGTCTCTGCCGCATCCTCCTGCCTGTCGCCATGGCCGCCTACAAGCTAGTGCTGATCCGGCACGGCGAGAGCGCCTGGAACCTAGAGAACCGCTTCAGCGGCTGGTACGATGCTGACCTGAGCCCGGCGGGCCACGAGGAGGCGAAGCGTGGCGGACAGGCATTGCGAGATGCTGGCTATGAATTTGACATCTGCTTCACTTCCGTGCAGAAGAGAGCAATCCGGACCCTCTGGACAGTCTTGGATGCCATTGACCAGATGTGGCTGCCAGTGGTCAGGAGCTGGCGCCTTAATGAGCGACACTATGGGGGTCTGACTGGTCTCAATAAAGCAGAAACTGCTGCTAAGCATGGTGAGGCGCAGGTAAAGATCTGGAGGCGATCTTACGATGTCCCACCGCCTCCAATGGAGCCTGATCATCCCTTCTACAGCAACATCAGTAAGGATCGCAGGTACGCAGACCTTACTGAGGACCAGCTACCCTCCTGTGAGAGCCTCAAGGACTCTATTGCCAGAGCTCTGCCCTTCTGGAATAAAGAAATTGTCCCTCAGATCAAGGAGGGGAAAAGAGTCCTGATTGCAGCCCATGGCACAGGCCTTCGGGGCATCATCAAGCATCTGGAGGGGCTCTCAGAAGAGGCCATCATGGAGCTGAACCTGCCAACAGGCATTCCCATTGTCTATGAGTTGGACAAGAACTTGAAGCCTGTCAAACCCATGCAGTTCCTGGGAGATGAAGAGACCGTGCAGAAAGCCATGGAAGCTGTGGCTGCTCAGGGCAAGGTCAAGAAGTGAAGGCAGACTCCTACCCTAACACCCTCCTCCCTGCCTGTTTACGCCTCCTGCACCCTCCCCCAACACCTGCCACACTGACTACATCTTTAGAATCTTAAGTTTAAGTTGTAGTTGCAGATGGGGACCCATGGCTCCCATTTTCATTTAGTATTTTATCCCCTGCACCCACTCCCTTCATAGAGCCTAGTCAGAAAAACACCTCTGGGGTGCAGGTTCTTGGTCCACATCCAGGGACATCGCCTCTTACCAGGAGAGGTGAGAGGTAGTGATTACTTTTCTTAGTCCTGTGTTTACTAAGGGTTGGCTTTAGGAAGAAGAACCATGCAGTGATGTAACCAGTGAGAAGCTGCAGCCAAGTTTTGTCCCAGTTAGGTAACTGGGGGCTGTAGCCATTCCAGTAGAAGGTGAAGGTAACTCACATGGTGACTTAAACATACTACCTTCCTATCTGATCCTAAAGGAGCTGCTGGCCCTGGAAGGTTGGGATCAATCCTGTCAAGTCTTGTGTTGTTACATTTACTTTTACAAAAAAAAAAAGGGTACATATGTATTTATCAGCAGAAAAAGCCCCTCTGCTGTTTCTAGTGGTGATTGAAATAGTTCCATGTGATCACCAGAAAATAAGCCATTCCTCATATTAGATGGGATAAACTCTGTGTCCTCAAGGGGCAGGAGTGCTTCTCGCTGTGTTAAGTTACCTCTGCCTTGCTTTGGAGAGGTGCAGTTCCCTTTGATCATGTCCAGGTTTTGTCTTTCACTGTCTGAATCATGTTCCAGCTGCTTGGCCCTACTATGTGGGTTCAGAACTCGTTTTGGGCATAACTACTAAATCTCTTTCCAGATCAGTATAATAAAGGAGTGATGTGCAATAAAAAAAAAGGCGTTTTTTTTTAAAAAGAAAGAACCCCACTATTTTATATGCTAACTTAAAAATTAAAATGTTTTTAAGTAAGGTAATGCAGTCTCCCCCAGAATATCATAAGCACATGGCTGTGGTTTGATCAACCTAGAAACATGTCTTCTCATTTCAAAGTCTTTCTTTGGTGTGAAGACTGAATAGAATTGTGTCTCAGTTGCAACTGTCAACTTGATACAGCCTAGAATGACCTAAGAAGGGAATCTCAACTGAGGGATTTCCCAGATCACAAGTCCTATGGCCTCATCTGGGGGGGGGGGCTATCTTTACTTTTAGTTACATTGGAAGGCCCAGCTCGCAGTGGGTTGCAACACTACCTGGAGGCAGGTGGTCTGGGGATGTATGGTTAGTTAAGCATGAGCCTTGAGCCAGTCAGCAAGCAGTGTTCCTCCAAGGTTTCTTCTTCAAGCTCCTGCCTAGAGTTTGTGCTTTGACTTACCTCAATGATGAACTATGATGTGAAAGTGTCCTCCCCTGTATGCAAAACTTATTTTTCAGATTATATATATGTGTGTGTGTGTGTGTTTTGCTTGCACATATGTATAGGTATTCATGCATGCTTTATGCCCCTTGGGTCCAGAAGAGGGTGACAGGTCCCCTGGAACTGGAGTTGGAGACTGTGGGTACTAGGAACCAAGTTCTGATCCTTGCAAAAGCAGAGGGTGCTGTTCATCCATGAGCCATCTCTCTAGCCCCCCGTTTGTATATCCTTATAAAAGTAGTATTTGGGAAGCTGCAAGATGGGTCATCCGTTAAGGGGTTTGGTTCCCAGTGTCTACAGAGGGCAGCTGACACCACCTGTTAACTCCACTTCCAGGGGAGGTCTTCTGTCCTCCATGGGAACCTGCTCAAACACAGTGCACATACAAAGAGGAATGTACAAACATAAAGATAAATAATTTTTCCAAGTAGCCTTTTAGAAACAAAATCCAGACACTTTGAAATGCTTTCATATACTCTATTAACTTGCTGCGAACAAGAGTGCCAAACCCGTCACAAACTCCAGCAATACTATCGTAGTGTGTGTGTGTGTGTGTGTGTGTGTGTGTGTGTGTACTTACACTTTATAACAGCTGCCCTTCAAAATGGTTTGCACTGTGTTCCTTCTTGGCAAGCCATATGCCATGGCGAACGATGACAATCTTTTCCTTACATAGGAGCCTGGTGTAGCATCTCCGATGCTCTATTCACTTTGCCTGAAAGAATAACAGTCTTAGTTAACAGCTCTAATTTGAATATGGTAGGGCCAAATAATCAAAAGGTCGCGACAAAACATTGAGGGGTGTCAGGAAGCACTTTCGTAAACATTCCATGTATCTGAACCATGAACATAAAAGCTAGCTGTGTTCCATGAACATAAAAGCTAGCTGTGTTCGTTTTTCAGGCAGTTGCTCTATCAGTTCAGACACCATCGAAGAAGAGGGAAAGTCCAGCGGCAGCTGTCCTGTGAGAGGATGCAGTTGGCAGTGGTGCGCCATGGCACCATAGGTGGTTACTGCCTGCGCCTGAGTCCTCACAGCTGCGCACCCTTGTGGCTGTGATAGGGACAATGATCCCGCAGCTCTACGCCCCGACATCGCCAAGCTTGCACTGGCCACCGCCCTTCCCACGGCGCAGTTCCATACAGAACAGGCTGGGGCAGAGCAGCGAGTTGCCCTGCGGCCCTCCCACGCCCATCCGCTTCCGGCCCTCTGTACCCGGCTGGAGCCGCGGCCCCGCGACCCAGGGCGGCAAGCGCTAGGCGCACATGGCCGCGCACTCGCAGCCGCCCCGCCGCGGACGCGCGCCTATCTACTTGCTCGGGCGCCCGCCTGCTAATGAGCCGGCTTGCTTGCTCATGCGCTCCCACTTGCCCGTGCTCGCCTTGCGTCAACCGCCGCCTCAATAAAGGGCTTTGTGTGCGCGCATAGGGTGCTCTGACTCAACCGGTCCGCGGTGGGAGTCACACTTCACGAGCGGGTGACAACCTCTGTCCATGCCCACGGTCCAGGCTCTGGCGATAGCATCTACAAAGAGCAGATGGATTTGAGTGGATTGTCATCAAAACCGTGACCGTGGGGGTCCATCTAGTCACTTCTTAGGGTGACACACACAAATGGTAGCACAATGCGGGAGGGTTTGCTAGAGTTGCTCCTCCCTCCTCTGACCCTAAATGACTTCCTAAAGCAAGGAGAATATCTTATGTGTAGGTTTCCTGGGTTGTAAGGATTACAGATAATGCTTGAGAGTCTGTGAGCCACGAAGGGAAAGATTATATCATCGTGAGTAGTGACAGCCCTGTGAAACAGGCAAAGGGTTCCGATTGAGAGGAGAATGCACACTCAGTACGTAGTGAGTTCCAAGGCCAGCTTTTAAAGTCAAACATACCAATCTCTTTACCTGTCACACTTCTTTCCCGTTTGGTTTTGTTGAGAGTCAATCTAGAATGACCTACGACCACTATGTAGCCCAGTGTGGCTTCAAACATGCAGGTCATTAGGCGTGGCTGCAAGCCTTTATCCCTGAGCCACCTCGACAGTCCAACCTATACTTAGCTGGCAAGGGAGATGTCATGATCACAAAGGTGGTTTTCCCAGGGCGAGTCTTATCCATTGCACTCTGGATGTGGGGAGCCCTGCAAGTTCCCCAAATGTGAGATGCTCCACTGCATAATTTGTGGTAGTAGGGGACTATATTTACCCTTCCGTCTGAATTAGAAGAGGACGGGGGAGAGGAGGAAGAGGAGAGGAGGAAGATAACAACGAACAGAAAACATTTTTACAGACAGGTGCCCTACAATGATCTAGCAAACGCTCATCCAGACCCACTCATAATCCTTAACTACATCAACAAAGAGTATGTGACCGCACTGCATCCCCACAACTACAGGAGAAATAAAACTAGCCATTCAAGGAGGCTGTCCAATGGAGACCTACAAATAGACTATTTTCTGAATCTTCTTTAGAAATACCACATTTTGGCTGGAGAAATACCTCAGTGGAAAAGAGCACCTGTTGCTCTTCAGAAGACCCAGATTCCATTCCCAGCATCCACGTGGGGCTAACAACCATCTGAAACTCCTGTTCCAGAGCATCCAACACCCTTTTCCGGCCTCTAAGGGCATGTACATACAAGGTGCATAGACATGCATGCAGGAAAAAATACCCTAACACTCAAAATAAAGCCTTAAGAGATAGAGAGATGGTTCAGCAGTTAAGAGCTCTGGCTACTCCTCCAGAGGATACAGATTCAAATCCCAGCACCCACGTGGCCATCCACAGCCCTCTAACTGCAGCCCCAAAAGATCTGATGCTGTCATCTGACCTCTACAGACTACATACATGCACATGGCACACAGACATACATACATGAAAGGAGAAAATAGCCATACACATAAAAAAATTTTAATGAGCTGGGCGATGGTGGCACACACCTTTAATCCCAGCACTCAAGAGACAGAGAGAGGCAAGTGGATCTTTATGAGTTCTAGGTCAGCCTGGTCTACAGAGTGAGTTCCAGAGTTCCAGGACAGTCAGAACTATTACAGAGAAACCCTATCTTGGAAAAGAAAGAAAGAAAGAAAGAAAGAAAGAAAGAAAGAAAGAAAGAAAGAAAGAAAGAAAGAGGAAGTACCAAATTCTAGCAGGAAGGGACATAGGGTCAGTAAGAAAAAATAATGAACTTGAACAAAGAGTATGGATACATTTATGAAGTTCCTGGGATAAATCCCAATACTTTGTGCCCTAACTTAAATTACCAAATTCTACCTCTCTTTGCTTCCCCTCTCCTCCCTCCTCTTTCTGTGTCTCTTGTTTATGCCCATCTTTACCTCCATCTCTTAGTCTCTCCCCATTTTGCTGGTACCTCTTCCTTATCCTACAGTTGGTTAACATTCTTCATTTTAATTGTTAAAGTGAGAACTGATGCCTCCTAGTGTTAAAATTACAAAGTTACAAAGAAGACTGCCAACCAGATGAGTGCCCAAACAGGAACTTTCAGTAACTGTAATAGCACTTACCATGTTTTAGATGCTGTTCAATTCAGTGCACAACTGACTCATTTAATTACCACATGATTGGTGGCCTCCTGAGGTTAAAGGTGTGTGCCAATGCGTCCCAGTTTATATAGAGATTTTGTTTTTTCAACACGAGTTTCTCTTTGTAGCTCTGGCTGTTCTGGAACTTACTCTGTAGATCAGGCTGGCCTCAGACTCAGAGATCCACCTGCCTCTGTCTCCCAAGTGCTGGGATTAAAGGTGTGTGCCACCACCACCACCACCACCACCACCACTCAGCACAATGAAAACTTTAAGACAACGAAAAAAGAAATTAAAGAGTATAAAAAGACTTGGGGAAGACTTTCATTCAATTCTCCTAGTTGGCAGAATTAATACTGTGAAAATGACTAACCTACAAATTCTATGAAAGCCCATCAAAATCCCAATGCTATTCTTCCTAGAACTAAACAAAAAAATCCTAAAAGTTTTATGGAGACACAAAAACACCACAGCAGTCCTGACCGGAAAGAAGCTGCCAGCAATTTCACAGTACCTAACCTCATATTGCAGTCAATCACAATGACAAAGACAGTATGGTAAGGGCACAAAAGCAGATATGTAGGCCATTGGGACATAATAATAAACCCAGAAATGAGCACACATGGTTACAGTCTTCTAATTTTTGGTGAAGGGGTCAAAATAATATACTGGAGTGGAAAAGCCTACTTGACACATAGTGCTAGAAAAAACTGGATACCCACCTACAAAATAAGTAAAATCTATTCAGTTTTCTCTTTCTGCACAAAAACCAATTCAAAGCAGATTAAAGAACTTAACTTAGTGCTAAGACACTGAACTTGCTAGAGTACAGTGTAGAATATTTCAAGACAGAGACACAGGTGGGGTTTCTAGATAGGACTCAAGTAGCATGGCAGAATCCCAGAAATTAGAATGAGGTCATAGCAAAGCAAACCATCAGCAAACTGAGCAGCTGATCCACAGGGTGCCAGAAAGTCCTCAGCAGTTCTACACAGACAGGGAGTGAATATCTAGAACATATGGAAAGATCTGCAAAAATTAAACTCTAACAAATTGTCAGGTATTACAGCACATGTCTTTAATCCCAGCACTTGAGAGGCAGAGTCAGTTGGATCGCTGTGAGTTCAAGTCCATCCTGGTCTACAGAGCAAGTTCCATGACAGCCTCCAAAGTTACCCAGAGAAACCCTGTCTTGACAAAAAGAAAGGAAAAGAAAAAGAGGAGGAGGAGGAGAAGCAGCAGCAGCAGAAGAAGAAGAAGAAGAAGAAGAAGATGATGATGATGAAGAAGAAGAAGAAGAAGTCAAGTTTACCTTAATCCCAGCACTGGGGAGCCCCAGTGGCAGGTGGATGGATTCTATGAGTTCAAGGCCAGCCTGGTCTACACAGTGCAGTGAGTTCCAACTCTGGAGACAAGGTCCCTCTGGCCTCAGAGGGCACCTACACTCATGTGTACATACCCACATATGACATATATATATGTATATATATACATATACATATTCGATTGAAGATAGTTCATTTAGTTGGGGCAGCACAGGACACAAGGACCTGAAACACAAGCCTACATCCAAACTCGCATCTTTTCCCAGCCTGAGCCCAATGCCTCAGTTCTCCACACAAGACAGAGTCGATTGTGTATACATCATCACTGTCATAATTTGAGACTGCATATTAAGACGTAAGAGAAAGTTTAGCACATGCTATATAAAGTAGAAACTCTCAGTATTTTGAGAATTTGAAAGAAAAAGTTTAGGTCTGACGAGGTGAAGCATAACTTAGCCCCAGCACTCAGGAAGTTGAGACAGAAGGACTGCTAGAGACGTATAATAAGATGTCTCAAAAACTCAAACAGTTAAACTTGGTTTTCAATGTTCTTCCAAACCAACAGGAAGAAGCAGGGGAGGCAACGGAGTCAAGGAAGTGCTTGCTAAGCAGGTGTGGGGCCATGAGTCTGAGCTTCCCATAAAAAGCTAGGCGTGCTGGCGTGCACCTGCAATCCACTGCTGAGGGACAGCCAGGACAACCCTAGGCCTTGCGGACTGGTCAGCCTAGACTGTTTGGCACTGTCTCAAAATCCAAGGTGGGCAGCTCAGGAAGGACAACAGCCAAAGCTGACCTATGGTCTCTACATGTATGTGTACACATGTGCACATTCGCCTGCACACACAGGGGCTCTGTGTACCACTGCCCACATGAGACTGTTAATCCTAAACTATCAGACCAGTAAATGATCAGTGGATAATCTGCTACTATAACCACCAAATCTTGTGAAGTTATGGAATGTTTTTGCTTTTTACTTATGGCTCTTCTGAGAAGGCAAAAGATTGACTTCTAATTCCCCCATGTAACCCAGGCTGACCTCAAACTCACAGTACTCTTGCCTCAACCTCCTAAGTATTGGGATCCTAGGAGATGCCACCATATTTCCAACTAGAGAAATTCAAGCAGATACAAGAGCAAGAGATTCATGTAATCAAGTCACCATGCCCTGTGCCCAAGTAACAGTTGACCCTCGAGGTCAGCTTACTGGATTCAAACTACTGTCACCTAGGAGACTTCCAAGGCACCCTTCTGAGTGTGTCTGTTTCCAGACAGGACTAATAGGAAAGGAAGAAACCCCCTTACATGTGGGCAGCCACACCTCATGGGATTGGAGCTTTGTACAAATGCAAGGAGAAGGAGAAAGCAAAGCCAGCAAATAATCGCCTTTCTCTGTCTCCCGACCGGGATGAGGTGAGCAGCCTTCCACACACTTCCCCTGCCATGATGCACTGCCCAAGTCATGCAAGGAGCCAGGCATTGATGGTGCATGCCTTTAACCCCAGCACTTAAGAGGCAGCGGCAGAGGCTTCTGAGTTCAAAGCCCACCTAACCAGGCATGTTCCAGAGCGTGTTCCAGAGTGTGTTCCAGGACAGGCTCCAAAGCAATACAGAGAAACCCTGTCTCAGAGAAAAACAAGAAAAACAAAACATGCTCATGCAGGGACTGAACGCTTTGAATCCATAAACCAAAGCAAATCTCTCCTGTTTTTAAGATATTCTGTCAGGGATTTTGGTCTCAGGGACACAGAAATAGCTAATACACTCATCAACCAATGGCAGCCACTAGCAACATGATTCCAACACTGTTTACTCTGTCGCTTTCTGCCTTTAAAATGCGTTGATCTGCTCCGGTGTAGTGGTGCTTGCCTGTAATTTCAGAACACCAGAGGTAGAAGGGGTGGATTAAGAGTTCAAGACCAACTGCAGCTATAAATTCAAGGCCATTCTGAGCCTGATAAGACACTTTCAAAAAGAAAAGGAAAAAAGGAAGGGTAGGGAAAATGGAGGAGTTACAAGGGAAGGGGTTAGCAGAGAGGTGAGAAGAGAAAAAAGAAAAGTCTTTAAAAACACACACCATTAATCCCAGCACTCAGGACAGCGAAACTGTTAGTTCAAGGTCAGCCTGGTCTACATACTGAGCTACAGGACAGCCAGAGCTACATAATGAGACTCATTTGAAAAAAAGAAAAGGAAATTCATTGATTGGTTATGCCACCTTTTTCTTTTTCTTATGGTGATAGGAATTCAACCTCCCCTCTATCAACTAAGCAACAGCCCAGCCTGGTCTATTGAAACAGAGTCTCTCTATGGCTCAGGTGGCCTTGACCTTCCCAAAGATGGAATC